AAATTGCCTAATTTATTTATATATTTGTCTCCCTCAAAAGATTTTGAGGGGCTGGGGTGGTGAGCTCAGGTGGTACACAGCACTTGCCTAGCATGTGGGGGCCCTGGGTTTAATTCTGAACACCGCCTATAAATAAATAGATAAAATAAAGGTCCATAAACTTTGAGTCTCAAGAAGATCTGTGTCTTGGTCACCTTTTGACCTCTATGACCTAGTCCATATTAGGCACTCTACAAATGATGAGTTAATATAGGGGTAAGTTCTGGACCCTTACCCAGTTGTGCTGCATACTGTCACCTGCCTCTATCCAGCAGTGGTCAAAGGCAATTTCTGGAGTCAGCTGGGTCCAAATTCCAGTTCTGACCCCCTGGCAAGTTTACCATGGCCTCTCACTGGAGACTAACTTTATCTATTCTCTCTAGGATTTATCTCCTCACTTATAAAATGGGAATAGTAATACTATTCACTTACCTCAAAGGATTAAATCCTGATAATTAAATGAGATTAATGTATGTTAAGGGACAGTGCAGGGCCTGGCTAATAGCAAGCACTCAGTAACTTGCATTATTATTAGCTTAGAAAACAGACTTCTAGTGTATTGATAACATTAATGGAGAAGTACATCTACAGACATGTACCTGTGTGAAGAGATGCATGGAAAAATGCTCACTGTGGTGATAATAGTGTTTCTTTTACTTATATTTTTTCTGTCTCATTGGTATTTATTTCACTATAAATACCATTTTTTTTTGTATACACTTAGCCTCTTCAACTGCCAAAATACACACACCCACACGTACGTACAAACAGTGCAACCCCCTGATACACAAACCCAGAAACACACAGAAAAACCACAAACATACATACTCCCTTAGGAGGCAGAAACTCAGTGCAGATGTGACCCAGCCTCGGGGACATTGAGAACGTGCTTGCTTAGAATGTTTAAACCTCAGGCCATCTCTGGCTCAAAGCCAACAGCCGGGTGGGCAGGCACACTGCCAGCCCTGGAACCAGGAAATGGCACCCCTGTACATCCAGAGCTCCAAGTAAACAACCAACCTGGGCGTCTGGAGACAGATTCCGTATGAAGTGCAGACCCTGCAGGAGAGGTGGGCTGTGCCAATCTTCAACCCACGGAGGTGAGGAGCAGAGGGCAGGAGTAATACACAGGAATTTGGAAAGTTAACTGCCTTCCTGACCAAGATTTTAAGAGGAAAAGGAACTAACTAGTTTCAGAAAATGATTTGCTTTTAGGTCCCCAAATTCAAGAAATACAGGAGGAACTGGATGGAGGGAGCTAAATCCCACATTTTCACTGGAAACTTTTCTTTCTTCCAGTGAACAAGAAAACTTGCAGTAACTTTTGAACTGGCCTTAGTGTTTAGGCCTCAGTTTTGCTGGAGTTTAATATCAACCTTGTTATATAAGCAGTCCGCTCCTTGGCAGAGTGTAATGTCACCAAGAAAAATCAAGTGTCACAATGACTTCCAGAAATGAAATCTGCTTTCTTGTTACAGGGATCAGATGATGTCAAGAAGTACCAGGACAGAAATGAGGCCGATTTCTGGACTCTTGAAGCAACCCTGAGCTTTGGAGAAGAATCTGGGGAGATTCAAAGCAAATAGAACAGAGCCTTGTCCAGGGTAAAGACCCTCAAAGGGGACGCGTTGGTGCTCTGGTGCCAGTACGTGGTCTACATTCAGGATGGGGAGATCACCGTGTCAGGGAGCACCAAAGGTGCCCAGCTTAGGCCAGGAAAGGAAGAGGGAATTCCTTTGCCTAAAAGGACCTGATGTCTCCTCTCAAAAAGTTTACATTGTAGTTAAGGATACTAGATGGGCACATGTGGAAACAATTAAAAGAAAATTTCCAGTGTTCTGTTTTGAGCAGTAGAGATCCTAAAATGTTGAAGAAGTGTGAAAAATATAAAACCAGGGCCACCACAAACAAAACCTGTACACAGGGGCTGTATAGTATATGACCTATACAGCCGCATCTCTTTCAGGAAAAGAATTTGTGCTGTACAACTTAACACTGAGTTACATAGAGTACACTTCATGCATCATTGGTGGTCTCAGTCAACACCAGCTTAATGAGGGACCATTTTGGCAATCAGGGAAGGAGCAGTTGTAACATTAATAATCAAAATTTGGGGGCTGAGGTTGTAGCTCAGTGGTAGAACATTTGCCTAGCATGTGTGAGGCACTGGGTTCCATTCTCAGCACTGCATATAAATAAATAAAATAAAGGTCCATTGATAACTAAAAATATTTTTGAAACAAAGAAAGAAAAAAAGAAGAACTAGTGCTGCTTTAAAAAAATAATAACCAAAATTTTACTACCTTACAGCCTCCCTATCAAATCAAGGCCTCGGCCCTTCTTCCAACACCTCCCAATTTCCTAGTTCTTTCTTTTTTAATTGAAAAATAGGTAGGTATCACAAAATTTACCCCTCTAAAGTGTAAATTCAGTGCCTTTTAGTATATTCATAAGGTTGTATAACCATCAACACTATCTAGTTCCAGAACATTTTTATAACTGAAAAAGAAACCCAACACCCATACAGTGATTTCCTGTACCCACCTCCTCCCAGCCCCTGACAGCCACCAATCTGCTTCCTGACTGTATGGATGGTCTGTTGGGTATTCCATATAGATGGAGCCATATGACCTGAGGCCTTTTGTGTCTTTTCTTAACATCATGTTGTCAAGGTGTATCCATGTTGCAGCATGTTTTTGGTGCTTTCTCTATTTTCCCAGTTATTTCTGGTCATCCCAGGTGATGGCTTCCAAGTGCTAAGACTTGAATCTACCATAGACATCTATCCGCTCCCCAGAAGCCACTTGGAGGAAGAACCTCACAGCTGCTACCTCTGTCAGAACTGGAAATCCATCAGTTCCTCTCTTCCCTGCAATGGAGATAGTGTCTGTCCAGACAGGGACATTGTCTCTCTCCCTAGCTGAGCGCTGCTTTTGTTCCTAGTCTGTAGGTCGTCTGTACTCCTAGCTTTTGGTCACACGTTTCTGGTTCTGAAGGCAGACCTGGTTTTCCATTTCCCCATCTTTCTCATCCTGATTCTAGAAACCTGCGCTGGGAGGAAGCCCAAAACTAAACAAAACTTTTATCTTCATCTGGGTTTCCCCAAACACATCCTAAGACAAGAACTGGTGTGAAATTGATTTTTTTTAAAAGGGAAAACCAGTAAGAGAGTGAGAAAGTGGGACAGGGAACATGTGAAATCAACAAGGATGTGAAGTCCACAAAGGGTAACTTGAGCTCAATCCCACAGAGTAGTGACAGACCTCAAGGTATGGTGTTTATCCTCTGCATCTGTCAGTCATTGGTTAAGAGCTGTTCTCTGGGCAGGTAAAGTACAGGCCCTTCAGTTTTCTGTGGCACCAGGCAAAAGGGGTCCTGGCAGGCTGAGAGCAACCCTTTGACGTGGAGATACTGGTGCCACTGTTAGCAGTAAAAGCATACATTTTTGCTTCATTCCTTTGTGAGGTCCCCTTTTCTCACAAACATATCATCAGAATCTCTAACCTCATCTAGCACAGTGCCAACACTTGGTATATGTTGACTGACTAATGGATAGAAAGATAGACCTCACCAGAGGCCAAAAAGTAATTTTCTTTATGGTCATAAATTTCAATCATTTGAAAAAACAGAATACATTGTATACATCCCTGGCTCACTCTTTTCCACTTACTGTACACTTGGGCATGTGCAAAAGAAAGTGAAGCCAGTACCTGTTACACTATTGATGTAAAAGAAGGTAACTTAGAGGCTGGGAAAAACCTGCTTATGAGAAGTTACAGGTGAAAAACCTGATTGTCAACGAAGAGTTCAGTGTTTGATAAGCCAGGGATTCGGGATAATGTACTATGTGCTAGAGATTCCTCTTGGGTGTCTGGAATGAGTCTCATTTTCTTCTTTTCCATGGTGCTCTGATTGGGCATGCTACCGAGTCTCTGTTTTTCTGTTTCCTCACCAGCTCTGCCCATTTCCCAAGGTGATGGAAAGGTGAAATCATACACGTGAAAGGTCTTGAGAAGCACAAGTTGCTCACAAATATAATATAGATTTTAAATGGCTTTTGACTTTTTAAAGGGGGTCTTGGGCAACAAAGAAGAAAATCCTGGAACAGTGAGGCTGAGAAAGTACCCTTGGGTATCCTTGGGTACCAGCTGAGTCTCTGTGGGAATTGACCCGTGATCCCAGGCCTGACCAGAGATGGTACATGCATTAACCCCAACATTAGCCGTGACATTAGACCTTCCAGGCGACAGCTGGGCTAATCATTAAAGGGACTCCAACAGAACAGAAGTTAAGAGAGAAGGCAAAGGGGAATGTAAGAAAGGGTGAGTTGGAGAAGCCAGAAATAGAAGAAAATGTGTGTGGGGTAGAGAGGAAGAGACAAGTGTAAGACAGAGACAGAAAAAGATGTGGAGTAAACTGATAAAGAAGTGGAGATGAAGGGGAGAGGAAACAAGAGGAGATAGTTCCGGAGATGATGGGCACCACTGGCAGCTGCTCCTGTGACATCCATGACATGGACTCCTCAGGCACTGGTTCCATGGCAGATGCCACACTCAACACATTCTCGTCAGAGCCCTGCTCTCAACTCTTGGTATACCTGCCCCAATTATTTCAGGGAGAAAAAGTTGAGGAGGGTCTCCAAGGCAACCCGATCTTGACTCCTCCCACCCCAGGTCTCCTGCAGGCCGTGGGCAGAAGGTGGCCAGCACAACCAGAAAGTAGAGGGTATGACCCAGCCAGCAAACAGAGGGCTCTCAGTTAGTGTGCCAGCCTGTAAATTGTCCTTTTGTTTTGCAGGCTTTACAGAACACGGTTTTATTTCATGTGACTGTGCTATTTCAGGAGGAGTAAATATTGCCGGCGGTCTGTTTAAAAAGGCCAATGACCTGAAATGTTGTTTTTTTTTTTTTAATTTTTTTTCTTTTCTTTCCCGTTTGAATCATCTCCAAGAAGCAGGCCTGCCCAAGCATCATGCAGTTTTAATTTGTTACCTTTCAATTCCAACCTTCCCTTTTTGTCTTATGATATTTGAGGCTGACCAACAAAAGGGGGCAAAGATATAGAGATAAAGAGGTGAAGTGCTGGCCCAGGCTTAGGGACAGAAGCAAGAGATGTCCAGGGTGTCACCAGAAGAGCGCAGGGAGTCCTCAGCTTTCTGCTGCCTTCACTGCTTCCGGAGCTGGTGTTTGACCTATAATTATAGTCTCTTTCCACTGATTTCCTCTGTGAAAATAGCAACATTCAGACTAAGTGCAGTGTAGGAAAAAAAAACACTACATAAAGAATCAGGGATTTATAAATACAGTTAAAATTACAGGATTGTTACCCCCATGGTTTAGTTCTCTAAAGAGAGGGCTGGGAAGAGGGAGCACAGTTCTTCAAACTTGACTCAGGTCCTAAAATACCCAGGTGTGACTCTTTGGGAGGCAAGTCAAGCAGAGATTCACTGCAGGTTCCCCCCCTCCCCATGAATGCAAAAACATTGTCTTTAAAAACAAGAAGAAGAAAAAGAAGGCTGTTCTTGGCCAGGATTTTTATTTGACTTCTTGAGGATTCTCACTTGCCATTTATTTGTTCAGTTTCTTCTCATCAAACTTATTATCTCTAAGAACAGAGAGGGGGAGAGGATATCTATGTCTTGGTCCTAGACCTGTCCGTCTTCTGGGGCCTTCATTCATTCCCTGGGGCAAACAATGCGTTCATGTTGGAATTTTCATCTTATATGACCCAGCACTCTGGTCCCAGCTGGTCCACACTGGCTCTTTTGAGGGCTGTCTTAACTTGGAGCAGATGAGAAATTGTTGGCTAAGTTCATTTCTGGTGATGGAGACAGATGGAAATACAGGCATGGAAATGGAGACAGCCTCTCTACAGTGAAAGAGAAGAAAGCCACCGTGAGTGAGGAAAAGAGACCAGAGACAGAGACAAAGGTTTGGTGCCCTGAAGTCTCTGGTTCCTGTGGTTCCCAAGGCTTGGATCCATGTCCCCCTAGCTTTTGCTCAGTTCAGAGAGTCAACTTTTACATGGATTTCATGAGCTAGTACTTTCCCTCTTTTGCCTGAATTGGTTCATGTGGGAGTTCGGATGTGTGTGACCAAAAGTCTTAACATAATAATGCAAGTGCCAAGAATTCTGCAGAGAAGTTGACAAAGCAATAGTTTCATTGCAACATCTGAAGTTGGTTTCACAAGGGTTAAGGGCACACTGCTCTACTTTTCAGAAAGACAAGTGTTAAGAGAAGAATGAATTTATCTCAAGTAGCATTTATGACCCAATAATTGAAAAAGAGGAGGAAACTGGGAGGGAAGCCCGGGGCCTGGCCTCTGCCTTCATGTGACTCACCTACAAGCTTTCCAGATAGCCGATCTTCAGAAAAGGCTACCATATTTACCTTCCCATCGCCCGTGACATTGTCTTAACTCTCACTGTGGAATCTGCAGTTGGCCACCGAGAGCTGCAGAGCTGACTGCCCATCTTCAGCATCACTGTCTTTCCTGAGCTTAGAGTTGACACCTCCCTGCAGAGTGATCCCAATACTCTCTGGGCGTCAGAGAAGCAAATGTAATGGCCTGGCATGATGGTGTAGAAAATGTCCTACACTGGGAATCTTAGCACTTGGATTGCAGCCCAAGTTTTGTCACCCACCATTTACAGGAACAAGCTAAGACCCTGGATCTAGCTTCTCATCTGCTAAATAAGGAATTGGGCCTGATGATCTCTGAAGCCCCTTTCAGCTCTCAATTCTAACTATTAAGTCAACTATGGGCTTAGAATTTTTCTCTACAATGACCAGTATTTGCTTATCACCAAAAATAGGATAAGAAAGAGAGAACAACAAATCAATTTTTAAAAAATATTTAAGGTGATATGATTTTTTTTAGAAAACTCAGGTTATTTCTAATATACCATTAGGTTTTTAAAAAATAACAGGTTTATTGTATAAAAAATGCAAATACAAATAAATACAAATAAACAAAAGAACTTAATCTAACCTGTAATCCTTCAGAGATAATATCTATTAATGTTTATGTATATAAATTAAAATACTTTCTATAAGCATGTTATAGAGGGTATCACCCAAATTTTATGTATTAGGAACTTAATCCCCAAAGTCATATAGTAATTATATTTGGAGATGGGGCCATTGGGAGGATTAGATGAGGTCATGGGTGTGGGGCCTTTTTATAATAAGAGAAAGTAGAGCTAGCATGATTCCTGTTTCTTGCCATGTGATACCCTCTACCATGTCAAGATCCAGCAGGAAGGCCCTCACCAGATGCCAGGTGAGGTTGGCACCATGCTGTTGGACTTCCAGAAACATAAGGTGAATAAACTTCCATTCTTTATAAATCACCTGGTCTGTGGTATTCAGTTATAGAAACAACAACAAAATAGCCTAAAACAACATGCAAATACATTTTTTCTTTAAGAAAATAGGATCAGACTATCCATTCTATTTTTCAAGTTGATCTTGACATTTAACAAAAAATTGAAAAAACATTTTTTAATGTTAAAACATATACTTACATAGCATTGACTTCAATTGCTACATGGTAATCTGGTGTTTGGGGTGACCTGAATTTATTTAAACAATCTCTTATGGCTGGATAGTTGGATAGATTTATTTTTCGGTTAGTATTACCAATATTATAAACATACCTTGTGCAAACATGTATGTTTTTTTAGGCTTCTGAGTGAGCAGCAAGCAGCAACTCAGCATGATTAGGGAGATAGAGGTATCACACCCCTTCTTTGTGGATTCCTGTGTTGTGCAAGCTCTCTCAGGTTGCAGTGAATGATTTGATTTCTCTCTACCATGCACCCTCTACCATTCCAGTCACAACTGATTACACTGCCATCTACTTCTCCTGTAATGGAGCTATCTGGAAGCAGACCAAAAGCCTCTGAGGTGTCTGGCAGGAGACCTATTCCCTAAGACAATTTCATATTCTGGCTGGACACTGGGCAAGCTGAACAAATTCTCCCTCATTAAATGCAACTATGAGTAGCCTCAGTAGCAAGGGCAGGAGCAGACATGGTGCTGGATTCAAGGGTTGAACCCCATCAACTGAAGCTACCAGTGAGTCCCTCACAACCCGATAAGAAGAAATGTCTGCCAGTGTGGTTCCCAGAGCCACCTTCCCTGACTCCAGGTGACTGAGCCAGGAAGATAAAGGTGTGACCTTCTGGAACCTGAGAATATGGAGCCTGACTCCATCATTTCTTACCTGTATGATCTTTGGCTCGTCCCATCACCTTCCTGTTCCATGTTTCTCCATCTGAAAATGAGAATATTGAAACCTACTACAAAAGATCACTGTGGCAAATAAATAGGGGGGGGGATAAATAAATAAACAAATAAACAAATAAACAAATAAATAAATATATTCCTTTAGAAGAATGCCTGTCATACAGCTGATATTATCATGCCTCTGCCAGCAAGCTGGATTGTACCTAGAATCTCAGGAGTTTAAAGGGTCTCACAGGTCACTGATATCCACAAGGACAAACTAACGACTTCAGATATCCTAGTATTAGTTTACTCTGTAAGTGCTCCTGATTCCTCCAGCAGATTGGTGAACTCCTTGAGTTCATGTCCATGTCCACTGTGCCCTCCACTGTGGGTTGCACAGGGCAGTGCTCAATCTGTGATGGATTCTGCTGACTGGTCGGAAAGCCTTCTCCTTGCAGACCCAGCACAGCCGGTTTGGATCAGTGTGTAGCGGGCAGCTGGGCCAACAGCCTAGCTCCCCTCCCCCCAGGGCAGCCTTCCAGAATCAGTGCTCCCTGGAGGGCAAAGCACCAGCAGCCCTCACAGCAAGCAGAAACCTCTGGCTGTATGCAGAGCCAAAGCCTTGCAACTGGAAGTTGTTGTCGCCTACTTTGCTTTGCAGGCTTACAAAAACATCCCATTGAAGCTAGCCCAGAACCTCCATTGGCATGTGCCAGAGCTGACAAAATGTAGAGCTAAATCTGTTTTGAGGACACCTCCTTCCAGAAAGGCAGGATGCTTGCCTGATTCCTAAGTGGAACCCCCAAGTCACCACACTGTGTCTTCCCTCTTTGATGTATTCCTGAGCCTAGAACCCCAGGCCAATAATGGAATGAAGTCAATGAATATTGATGGTCCTTTCCACCCTTTCCACCTCCTCCGGACACATCTGCTGACCTACCTGTGCCACCAAACATGGGCCTGATTGCCCAGCAACTACCATCACTCCAGTTTCATGTTAGCTGTAGAAAAGTCTTCTAAACAGGACAGCTAGAACAGAAGGAGCTCCACAGCACCCACAGCAAGTTTAGAATTCAAGGTTTCAGTGGGAAAAGATTCAATTTGCTTTTAACATTACTTAGTGCTGGATATTCTACTGGGTGTGTTGCATAATCATATTAACAGCTAAGGCATAGCACAACCACCTGATGACTGCTATGCCAAGCATCTTACACACACTAACTCATTTAATCATTATCAAAAACCATTGATTTGGACTGGGAATGTGGTTCAGTGGTAGAGTGCTTACCCAGCATGCATAAAGTCCTGAGTTTGATCCTTAGCACCAAAATAAAAAAATAAATTGAAGTTAGATAGTAAATTCACTTCATTTTACAGATGATAAAACTGAAGCACAATAACTCGTTTTCAAGGCCTTACAGCTACTAAATGACATACCTGGATGTGCACATAATCCCTATTCAAAAGATTTACAGTTCAAGTTCAACTAGGATCAGGTATGCATGTAGACATTTAATTCTTATGGTATCACTACTAGTGAGGCTAATGCGGTTCCATTCTATGGATGAGAAAACTGAAGCTCCGACAGGTTAAATATGTTCAAATCACATAACTAACAAGTGGCAAATATCGTGCCAACTTTGTCTAGCTCCACCATACCATGGCACAGGAAGAAAACCTTGTAAAATGACAGGAAAATACTCAGTGAGTTTGCAAAGGAAGTGACTGTAAGATTACAAAAGTTGGGAATGTGTAAATCGAGTCTGCTGGAGGTAGAACTCAGGCCCAGCAAAGGGTGGAGGCTCTAGACCCAAACTTCTGTTTATCTGTCCTGTAGCTACTTTCAAACCACACCAATTAGCCAGATGGGTAAAGATTTAAGTCTGTCAGTGGCAAATTTCTAAATGCCTTTTAGACAGGTGAACCTTGCAATGCTGGGAGGAAAAAAAAAAAAGGCTCTTAATGCAGCCAAATCTCAATTGGAAAAATCTCAAAACTCTTCTCACCCTCCCACTCACTTCCTAAACTATCTCATTTGGGAGAGGGGGTACCAGGATTGAACTTAGGGGCATTTGACCACTGAGCCACATCGCCAGCCCTATTTTATATTTTATTTAGAGACAGGGTCTCACTGAGTTGCTTAGCACCTTGCTTTTGCTGAAGCTGGCTTTGAACTTGCCATCCTCCTGCCTCAGCCTCCCGAGCCACAGGGATTACAGACATGCGCCACTACACCTGGCACTATCTCATTTTTTTATCTTCTTATCTCCTATGCCCCTGAGGTTTTTCAGCCCAGCTTCAAGTTATCTGTAATTCCAGGTAGTTGCAAACCTAGAGTCACATACCTGCAAGGAGCCTCAGAGAGGACTCACTGCCTTTGTCTGTTTTAAATCTACTTCAAGGGCTGGGGTTGGGGCTCCGTGGTAGACCACTTGCCTAGCATGTGTGAGGCACTGGGTTCAATTCTCAGCAACACATATAAATAAATAAAGTCCACTGACAACTAAAAATTATTTTTAAAAAAAATCTACTTCAAGCAATAGTTACTTCTCTTTGGATGTTTAGTCATTTTCTTTCTGCCTGAAGTAGGTTTGCTCTTTAGTGGGGCTGAGTGACCGGCTAGTGGCAGAGTTATTTTAGGCATCTGGAGGTAGCTCCTTACAAATACTTTGTTGGCCAATCCCCTACTACCACCACCAGCAGCCCAGGTCCTTATGGGAGGATCAGAGGGTCTATCCCGCCTTTTCCAAACCCAAAGGTACTCTTTGAAGGATCACCAGGAGTACAGAAATAAATAGGATGTATTCAGAAACTCACACGAAGATAACAACAATACCACGGGACTGTCAGTAATCTGGAACACCTGTATGAGCTTGCAAAGCAGAAACTATCCGTGCCTTCAGGGGTCCAGAAATCTCACCAAGGAAAAGGCCCCAGGAAGGAACTGGGGCCCAGAGAACCTGCAGGCCTGGAAGGCAGCATGGTTTTTCCATTGAAGGCAGGTGGCACAGGTTTTGCAATCTGACCTTTCCCCTGCTCCCCGTGAGACTACAACCACAGACACACCTTGGCATTCCCAGGCTTTATTTTCATTGTACAGGTGTCTGGGTGGCTCCCCACAATAAAGAGGAAATGAATGATGACTATAAAATTAAATTGTATTTTAGATCGATCTTTATCATCTTTTCCAGGCACTAATTGATTATCTCGCTCCTTGCAGATTGACTAAGTCTGACCAATAGAATAGAGCCATATGCTGAGCTCAGCATCTCCAGTCTCATCCCCATGGTAGCTGCCTTCCCAGTTGTGGCACTGCTGATGCCCGAAGCTCCCTAGATAACGATTTGTCTATGGCACCAGTAGGCAAAACAGGACACCAATAATCTTAGTTGCACATCAGTAGTTTCTCAACAGAAGTTAACAGCAGGTACTAATTCAATGTCTACTAAGTGTCAGGTACTCTGGTGAGTGCTCCAGGTGCATTAGCCAGTGAATCAGTATGTCACCGCCATTTTACAGATGAGAAAATCACAGAGGTTAAGTCACTGCCATTGACTGGTGAACTGAAAGACTGCCTCATTACTGACATCTCCCATGCACCTTGAACAGGCTAGACCCAGGAAGATGTTCAACATGAATTCTTTGCCGGGCATGTGGCTCAGTGGTAGAGTGCTTGCCTAGCATGTGTGAGGCTCCAGGTTCCAACCCCAGCACTGCAAAGCAACCACAACAACAAAATATTAAATGGATGAATGGACAGGTTCTAAATGGTGCAGCAAAGCTCAGAGAGGAAAATGTAAACAGGGAAGCAGAGAGGAATATATTCTGCAGGCTAAGTAGAAGAGCTGTGGTAATCGACAGCTGTTTCAGCCTTCCCTTTCTATGTGTACTTATTCCATTGAGCATTTTGAATGGGAAGTGTCTAACTACTCTGTGGGAGTACGTACTGGTTGCTAATTTTGGAACACTTGTGAATCCTGGGTCCAGAGTCATGACCAAGATTGGTGAGTCATACTCCCCATGCAGAGCACCTCCACATAGGCTGTCAGGATAACCAGCAGTCTCCAGTGTGTCCCCTGCTCAGGCTGTGTCATTTTACCTTCTTTTTTAAGATAATATTTTTTTAGTTGTTGACAGATCTTTATTTTATTTATATGCAGTGCTGAAAATCGAAGCCAGTGCCTCACACATACTAAGCAAGTGCTCTACCACTGAGCTACATCCTAGCTCTCATTTTACCTGAAGCTGAGGGTGGGGTCAGGGTAACAGCAGACTTCTGGATATCCCTGCCCTTTGGAAATCTAGAGGCTACATAGGCTCTCCTGGGGACCTCCTCCTCTTTCCTCCCATTCTCCTAGAGGAGTTCATCCCTCCCCCAGGATATCACAGCGGCAGGCAATGTTTCCATCTGCCCCACTGTGTCTCTCCAGGTAGGTGTGTAAAAGAACCCATCACCAGGTGACTAGTTAGCCTCTTTACCAAAGGGCACATCCCATCCCATCCTCAGAGAAAAAGGTTTAGAAGAATAAGTGCTCCAGAGACAGAATCTACACATTGGGTTGAAGTCACACAATGGCACAAAGAGCTGGGGTAGAAAGAAGCAGAGTACGGGGGACAAGACAGAGAGGGAAGTGGCTTGGCACCTATCACAGACTCTTGGGTACTTAAAACACAACCTGCTGGCTCTCTTTCTTATTGTGGGTTTTTCAGGCTCCTTTGCCTGGTCATGCTAGATGGCTGAATTCTTGCTCCTAAGTCTTTCAACTGGAAGCGATGTAGAGCCAGGGAGAAAGAAAATCCAAAGCAAGTTGCTGTGCTTGTGAACTACCGTGATCAAGTTCTGATAAGTGAAGTGGTGAGTTTCATCCTCTCTTCAGATTTTGACTTTGATCATTTCTACCCTCCTTTTAAAATAAAGAATGGAGGCTGAGACAGGAAGATTGTGAGTTCAAAACCACCCTTAACCACAGTGAGGCACTAAGCAACTCAGTGAGACCCTATCTCTAAATAAAACACAAAATAGGGCTGGGGATGGGACTCATGGTCGAGTGTCCCTGAGTTCAATCCCTGGTACCAATACAAATAAAAAATAAATAAATGATATAGAAAAATGGGCTGGGAGTGGAGGTGTGCACCTGTAATCCCAGGAGCTTGGGAGGCTGAGGCAGGAGTATCCCAAGTTCAAAGCCAGCCTCAGCAACTTACAATGCCCTGTCTCAAAATTGAAAAAAAAAAAATTAAAAATGGGCTAAGGATGTGGATCAGTGGTTAAGCACCCCTGGTTTCAATCCTTGGCACAATAATAATAATAATTTAAAAATAGAGGACAGAGAGTGGATCGAATTTGAATGTGTGAGGAGGATCTGACTGAATGAGCAGATGCATGCATGCATACTCCAAACACCAATTCCTCAGCCTAAAGTTCCCCCATAATTTCATTCCTCCTGACCAAACTGCATAAAGCAGGCATAAGAACAGAGAGAAGCATGCTTT